CTAAAATAGCCTTATATAGCTGCGGCGGTAAAATTAACTTTACTCGACTTTTGATGGGATAGACCGAGAATCTCATTCATGTGTACTTATTGAATTCGAGATTGGAAAAATATAATCTACTTATAGCTTCCAGTAGGTGACATTTTAATGCATAACATTAAAATAAACGATTGCGAACTAACAGCTTTTATGAATACGAGATGTTTTATCAACAACTTAGATGTTTTTTTTTAATTATCTAATTTCGTATTATTGGTAAGCTACGCCATATTATCCCTGATCAATTCCTATTAAGTTTTTTATAAGGCAATTTAATGAATAACTATGTATACATAGGATATTCGATTGAAACGCAGTTCACTCTAAGCAAATAGGTTTTAGGTTTTAATTTAAGAATTTATATTCGAATTAATTCTGCCGAAATGATTATTTTTGTATGCTCAATGAATATGCGAAGAGATTTAATATGCCGATTTAAAAAAGTAATGATAATTTGTTTGACGTATGTGTGCTAAAATAATTATTATAATCTAGAATAGTAATAATCGGGACACTTATTGCTAATTTTGTTAGATAATATACAAGATTTTTTTAAAATAATGATTTGTTTTTTTAACATAACATTATTCACGTAAAATTTCTTTGATTGTTGAATATTTGTATATGAAGATTAATTTATTTTGATTTATTTATTTATTTTGAAAAAGGTAATCGAGGAAGTTATTTAATTATCCTATTTTTCATCACTTTTGAACTTTTCATTAATTTATAAATATACTGTAGGTGTCGGTAAGATAATATTTATGAAATATTAATAAATTAATTGTGAACATTGTTTTTCGTTATACGCAACGTGTATGCTCTAAAGAGGATTTATTTGTCATAAAAATAAGGCCATTTTCAATTATAAAACTTCCAGAGAAATGGAATTCAATTGAAGTTTTTTGAAATCATATTTCTTCATGCCTACAGAATTTAATTTACCGTTGAAATAACTTCCTGTCTGAAATGTGTAATGTTTTGAACCTATTGTTCTATTGAGTTAAATTACATTACACTAGTAGAGGGTTTCAGAGAAATAATTAGGCCGTATAAGTATAGAGAGATATAAACTTATTCAACATCCTGAAATGTTCCTGAATGGCTTTGTAATCTATGAAAAGTGGGCGCGCTACGCCAAAATTTCTTGACATTTTATTCCTTGATTGACATTCAGATTGTGGAAAATTACAGTTAATTCTAATAGAATCGTAGAATTTCCAAAGGATACACGTATTAAAATAATTGTAAATTTTATATTATCTTGTTACATATTGTGCAACCAGCTTTTTTTCATGCATCTATACGTTACATTCTCAGTTGATTAAAGATTTTTATGCGGGAGCGCTGAATCTATGCTATATGGGTATAATTAAAATCTGCCCTTTCAGCACACATTAAAGAGGATTACAAAGGGATTTGAAATAGATTTGTTCCCATGACTCGGGCCTATTATTCATTACAAATCTTTGAAATACGACTTTCACAAAAGACTTCAAAATTTTCAAAAACCTTTTATGAGTCTTATGTATAACATTCCTTAGTTGTATACTGATCTCTTCATAGTATCTATAAATTTGCAACTTCCATTAAATTTTCATATATCATCATATAATTTGATTCTGTCATCAAACTAACAAACTCCGAATTACTAATATCCTGTAACAAATTTTTGAGCTCCTTCTGGGGAAAACGAATTGAAATAAATTTCTCGTTATCACTCATAATTCGCAATAATTTGCTTGGAAATTGGCAAAAGGAATTCGGAAAAATGCCCGACGTTATCAAGAGGAAAACGCGATCAGAAAATTGCTTTCAAATTTATGTTTTTTAATTTAATTTACAAATAAAGCGGATCTCATAAAAAATTTCCTTTTAGGGTGCTAATTTATTTATTAGGTAGGTTTATTTTATGGGTTGTTAAAGCATCAACATCGCAATAACTTCATAATTTGATAAATTCCATCCACGAATAAATATTGTGGCGGTAATTTACTGTTGCATAAACATTTTTTTTGGTTCATAGCGAATAATCGATTACATCCGTTCTTTTTATTAATGATACAACCTATCAGATTATAAAAAATATTTGGACAGCACAGTTTGTTCCACGTTTTTCCTATTAAATATGAAAACTATAGTTTTCGTATAGCAATTATTTCGCGATATACCCAAACTTTTCGTTAAAACGTATTCAAAGCTCAAGCACATTTGAATGAAATGAAACCAATTAATACGAAGAAGGGTAATTAAAACAGCCGATGAGGAAATGTTTTTGATATACCTATACATTTTTAAAATAAAAAAACTCGCTGAACGCTGAAACGCTATGTATGTACCTCTGTACGCCCCAGAAACTCCTTTTAAATTTCGATCTCCCCCCGCATTTGTTTTTTTGGAGTTACAGCTTTATATACACATGGAATATAAATACTCAGAATTGGTGGACTGTACAAAACAGTCCACTTGATGTAGAAGCAGTGACCAGACGTCTGGATTAAATATTGTTATTTACGATGGTATAAAAATGTTTAATAAAACTCCAAATGTCTTTGCAATGTTCCTGATGATTTAGATTGCAATAAAACCTCTAATGTTCTTGAGAAAAATATTCGGTAATCACGTAAAACTCATTGCTGTGCTAAGAACTAATAAAAATCGGCTTTATCTATGAAAAACAAACCGAACCAGTGGAACAATTACCCAGTATTATGTTTGCCATTAATAGTCGGTAGCTGATTTTATTATCGTTTTTTCTGACGCCTATTATTCCTGAATATTACCAAAAAAATGGAAAATACATTACCAGTGTACTAAATAACCAGTTAATCGATTGGTAATGGAATTTCTCCTCAAATTATGTATTTATCTTAATACAAACGTTCCTATAACAGGATCTTAAAAATTTTCTTATAAATATTCCGTGGGTATATTTAAATAACTTGTATATCATAAAATTGTTTACTTGAGGTTTACGTTTTAAGTTTTTTGTATATTTTTGAAACCTATGTATTTATTAAATTATCAAACAAACTTTTTTCGACAACTTCCGAGTCCACGTTAACCAATTTAGATGTTCGCTTATTTTTTGTTAGTGCTTATAATCTTAAAAATTACGTGAATCATCTGCTCTTTCCTCTCTAGGATTTACGAGGTATCATCTTGCTGATAATGGCAGCACTTTATGAATTTAATTTTCTTCATCTTGTTCCGGCGATAATGTAATATTTTTCGGAAAAATATGACTTTTTCATGAGACTAGAACCAGCCAAATATGGCACTTGAGCACGTTCCGGGCGCAAAGGCGCATGAAAATATCGTAAAATAAAAAGTACACTTTAGAGGAATGCAAATATCGTTTGTGTTTGCTAATAAGGCAAGTAATAGGTATGCCAAGCAGTCATAAAAAAGTTGTAGCCGTAATTTATGCGATGGCGACAATATAAAGATACCACCGTTTTAAATGTAACATAATATACATTGATCTCACTCAATCAGAAAACTATTTAAAACACATATCTATTTAAATTTCTCTCATTTCGTTGGACTGTATTAAAATGGAAACTTGTCAAGCATATCTTCAACTGCGATCAAGAATCGTATTATGAGAAAAGTCCCGTCAAGAGTCGACACAAATCGGAATTTCTTAGGATGGGTTTGCTTTTCAATAAAAAACCGAAACTCCTTTTTGTGCGAAAAATGGACCATTCACGGTTTTAACTCATATAATATTTATGTATCTTTCTGTTGACTTTACGTGTGCATATACTCGGCTGTGCTACATCAATAATGCATATTACGTTTACTCTTCAGCGTCGAGTCATCTTCCCGCTAAGTCTAGTTTGCTGGCTTCTTGTTTTCTGTTATAATTTTACTACATGTTGATATTTCATATGTATGGGTTTTTGGATATGTAACTAGGACAAGTTTCATTAAAATCTATCGTATAAACAGCAGTTAATAGTCTGCTGTTGGAGAAATATTGACTATATTGATATTCCTTTAGAAATACCTACATACGTAAAATTTGATTAAATAAGATTATTTGTAAATATTTTTATTGTGAATAAGAAATTCCGATTATTCAATATCCAATTGAATTCAGACTGGATTTATGTATATATACGTATTCAAAATGTTACAGCAAAATACTTTGCAGCAATGGGAATATTTATGGTAATACTTACAAAAGTACCTTTATATCTAGGTATGAGATGAAATATTATATCGAATTTCCTTTTGCACGAGAACTTAGCGTCATGAAAATAATAATTCCATAAATTTTAATTTACCTACTTCAACATGAAGTTTGCATATGAAAGTCTCTACTTTCTGTTAGTTATATGAACTGCTTTTATTAGTAGACTAACGAAAAAAAATCACTTGGAGAAAATTATTCCTCTTTCGTTTGAATATTTTATTCATTTATCAACTGATAATTACAATTTTTTTGTAGAGGTTTGCTACAGTCGCTCTTCGCAGGGGGTCCCATTACCTCCCGTTCCTTCTCAATTCGCCCTCATTGTCGCTTCCTTATTTTTGAGTCACTACCGTTTTCTATAATTTTTTTCCTTATCTCTAGAAGTCTCTTTCGGAACAAGTGGTCGTAATTGAATGAACATTTACTTCCAAACAATTTGCCCAAATTTCCTTCTTACGCTGAGAACGATGGAACGAAGGAGGTTTAATTGGAATCCGCGAAAAAAAGTATATTGAGCTAGCAACAGTTCTCGTGGCAGCAAGACCGTTATCAGAGGGTTCGTTGCAATAATTGGGAAAATTGAAGCTTGAAATTTTTATGCCTAACTTCTGATTGCGGGGATTATGTAGAAAAATTCCCTTTCTGTTTTTATTGCTTCCATGGATTTCGCTTTTCAAATATGCCTATAATTTAGGAACCGACCATCAAATTAGAAATCTAATTTGTAATCTAGACGCTTGTAATAAATGAAATTACTTACCTAAAAAGCCTGGAATCGCTCCCAAAGGCATCACGAATAAACTGACTAGTAGATCTGCTATGGCTAGCGATAGCAAAAAATAATTAGTAACGTTTTGAAGCCGCCGGTCCAGCAACACCGCTAAACAGACCAAAATATTCCCTAATCCGCCTGCAAGAATGAACACGACGACGAACAGAAAACTCCAATCATACCCGACATCGGCCGAATTGTTCTCTGAATTGTTCTTACACGTCCATAAACCGTCACCACTTTTATTAAATAGTGTGCACTGCAAATTTGGTATTCTCAACAGGAATTCACTGGCGTTGACACCGAAAAATTGGATGAAAATATCACTAGAATTAGTTGTGTCATCGATGCACTCTGTACACTGGTAGTGATTTTCCGATGACGAATTATATTGGCAATAGTAGTCGTGGTAAATATTTGTTTGGTTATCGACGCAGTAAAAGGATAGAAGAGAACTTTGGGTACAATTTATTGTCATAATATTTTCCGTGCATGTCGTCACGTTCTCTGCTCCTGTTAACTGGACAGCTTTTAGCATGTTTCACTCGATCTCCATATGTACCTGAAATAATAAATTTATGGTTTAAATCAAATCTGGTTGCTTTCAGTATGTATTTTTAGGAAGGAATTTCACAATGAAGCAAAATTAAAAAAATGCTATAGCCCGAATTTAGGGAAATATTTAAAAGTAGCGAATCGTGTTTTACCCGATGGTTTTTCCCTTTCATTCCATTTTGTTTCATTTACATCAGATTTGTAAATACGCCTTTACTTGGCTCAATGAAGGACTGATAATTCGGCTAAAAGCAAAAGCGGCATTGATCTAATCATCAATTAAGTTGTATAATTTGATTCTTTTTTGTATTCACTGTCTAACGAATTTACGTTTCTTTTAATGAAATGTAAAAATCTTTATTCTCGCAAATGCTCTTCAAACCGTTAAAACGAATAGATATCAAACTTAATATTGACTTTTATTAGATGCCAACCAAAATCTTTGGAATATCTTGCGGTTTAATATTTGTCTTGGCCTGGGATAGTGATTTAATTTGCCGAAGTTTCAAATAGTTTGTGCAATATGTGTGTTCCCCTATTCATTAATTTATAATTAAAACTTCTATCACCTTTTGAAATAACTAAATATTGGACTTCACCAAGAGTATTATTAACACTAAATACAAATTCATGTAACTGGAGATTCATAGTTAATTGTATGTAATTTTATACACCTATTTAATACACGAAGGAATTGATATTATGGTATAATAGGTGATAGTTATACCTCTATTATGTACATAAAAGATACATATGGAATTTAAAAGTAATCGTGTTTTATTTTTTCTAAGCGAAAACTCTGGTCTCATAACAGTGAAGTAAAAATTTTAAATTTACGCCGTGTTAAAAGTTCATAAATTAGATGACGGAATTAAATACGCTGCTTACAAAGCAGAAAAGGCCATTTTTTGTTGACGCTTTATTACTTTATTTTACAAAATGTCTTAAGCCTTTGTTACTAAGGTTATATTAAAATTTCCTTTGACATAATCTCAATATACGAAGTACCTACCTACCTATCATCAAACAAGAATGTTCTACATGGTTTAACATTCATACAAGGTATAATCAGGTTAAGCAATTTGTTCATAATACATAAATAGGTACAATTCGACTGGAAATAGTTTCCATTTAGCAAAGGAATATTTGATTATTCGATATTAATTAATTAATAATCGTATCAATGGGTTCGCTGCAAACAAAAGAATGATTAAATGCCTGGAAAATTAAAATACATCGTTGTTTGATGCCTTCTATTCGATTCAATCGCTCAAAATAAGACAATTCGTCGATTAAGTTTAAAATTAATCACCGCTTTGCATTATACACAAGGGATAAACCGTGACACATTTAATCCATTATAAGGAGATGCGTGTATAGGTAGAGTTTTGCGCATCTTATGATATATAGGAATGAATATTCAATCAATCACTATTAGTTCCATTTGATTGAAGAAAGGGAGTTGCTAGTTTGTATTACGAATTCATGACCTGATTGTTCGAGCGTGTAGGTTCTAACTTTGACCACACATTTTAGGGGACGAGCTGGAAGAAATTTTGTATTTCGACCTTCTAAGCCTTTACCGTGGACTTCGCCTTTACGGCTTGAATAAAATTTATTCGCGTGAATTTAAATATAATTTCGCATTCAATAGTTTTATTCCCGTTGCATTGATGAAATCCGCCTTAGCAAAACCCCATCGACATTCCTGTGTGTATTTCATCAAACAGGCTTCATCGCGACCACATCGAGTGAAAAATCAAATTCCATTGTAAATTGCTTTCGCCTCCTGTCTAGTGAAAATGGCCTTTCGTCGGATAAATTAACTGCTAGTCAAATAATAAATCAAAAGGAGCATCCGCAGATTGGTCAGGTCGCTGCCTTCTACACCTCGTGCTTTCGACTTACGAAGTGATTGATATGCGGTCGTAAATTCCATATTTTATGTTTCAATTACATTAATTTGTATAACCAACCATTTACGTTTGTTTTATAAAAGTGCCGGTAAAAAACATTCGGGGTGGTGGTGGATTTTTTTCGCTCTCTTAGGTAAAATTCCCTCTTCAATCCTCACGCTTCATCAGCCGGTAATTAACCGTAAGGTTTTATGGTCCGCAATTTTTTTAGCAAGTATGTGGCAAACGCTCCGTTAATGAAACTTTTAAGCTCGACGGCAATTCTGAATGACAAATCGACAACCATTTTAAATTGCGAAAGAGATAAATTACAGTATTCAGTTATTCCGGGCATGTACTATTAGCGTGTTATCTTACGAGCAGATGTGTTGCCGTGAAAATATTAAATTTACGTACCTACAACGGATATCAGAGGAGAATTGTTTATTTGGCTCTGACTTTATTATTAATGAGGAGCATCGAACTTATTACCGGTACTCGTAACAGTTGGAGAATCTAATGCAGTATATTTATTATTTGGGATTTGGAATTATGTAGGAAACAAATGATGCCTAAGCTGATTCTCTAAAAGCTGGTAAGCTGTTTGTTTTAGGGAAATTGTTGGAATTTTAAAGCAAAAGTAAATATTTACTGTTTCATTTTATCTTTGGCCAAAGGTAAATATTTGCGTTCGATCAACTTGTACAGCCCGCGGCCATTATTAATAAGCTTTTATCGTTTATAAAAGACGCCTGATAATAGACTGATTAAATCGTATACTCGTAAGAACCTTATTTTCGGTATTTGGAATTCATCGGCGCCGAAATTTTATACAATGAATTCGCATAGAATTTTCTACAGTGTAAAAAAATGTTAATAAAAGCGGAACAAATCATTTTACAAAAAAGAACACGAATCTAAATTAATTTTAAAATGAGGAACATCTCAACAAATTGGTAGTTTCAATTTCTGCGCATCAAAGGAAAGGTCTAAAGTTAGCGTTTTTATTAAAAAACATGTTTCTGAGCATTCGTAAAAATGCTCTACATTCCATGCAGACATTCTTTTCTTGCATTTTTTAATATCTTAAAAAGGATCTCGATTCCAGTCAATGATTATGAAACACTCCCACTACATTCGCGTTTACTTACGACCGAACCTAAGGGACCGCACACATGGTATCATTCGAGAACCTTTCATCTTTTGTAACAGTTTGTAATATATTAAGCTATTATTACAATCAATTTAGTAAATGTACTTTGTTTTAACGAAGTACTCGTTTACTATGAGTAAATTAAAAAAAGTATGGAATGGACGAATAATCATGCTTTTGAACTTAAACTAAAGGAAAAGCTCGTAAACGTACGAAAATGCATGAGTAGCATCAAATTTTACCAAGCATTAAATTCAGCACATCAGTATTCCGGAATATTTCACCAAAATTCTGCAAGTGCAGAGTGCTGATATTCATTTCAAATTGGATTTGTTTTTATGGTCTTGCTTATTTCCTAAAGTTAGACTCCAACTTTGACCTAGAGTGTTTAGCAGTAAAATCGTTTACAACCCGAAACATCTGTTTTTAATACCTTTAATCTATCTGACTTTTGTTTACCCACAATTAAACCTTCAAATATAAATAAAACCCGCGCACTTACCTAATTACCTCCTATACTAATGTCACATGAATATTAATATTGCTATATCCCTAGTCTTTTATGTGTTTACTGAAGTATAATATTCTGAAGTGCCAGTACCTTTCTATTCGCTAAGTTCACTTTATCGTGTACTTATAACTAAATCTCATTGTACCATCCCTTTCATGCTTACGCCTTAACAATCCAAGCTCAATATCGTATTTATGTCCCACATACACGTTTTCCATTGAAAATAATAATCCGAGAAACCAGGATCGCCGTACCGTGATAAAGTTGGCTGGAAAATAATCCAGCGCGGAGAAACTTGTTTGAAGAAACATGAGGTGAAATGAAGGAAAAGTTGTTTTAATCGTCGTCGACGCAGAAAGATATTCGTATAGGGAAGGTGAAAATTATTAATATCACTAAAAGCGTTAAATACAAGAAAAAGTTAGTATGGATAATAGAAATTTAAGTATTTTATCTAAAAGTGGAAGATGAAATAATAAAAAATTACAAATAACGAAAATTTAAATGTAAAATAATTTAATAATGAATTTGGGAACATCCGATTTGAAATACCTATTAGTACGAATGGTTTAAAATTAATTTCCGAGCTGTTCATCAAAATAAAATGTCCTTGGCAGTGGAACATGACATCTTATGAAGTGTTCTATTTATACTCTATACCAGGAGGAAAAGACATAAATCTTTTCTAAAAGTACCTAGTTTGTGCGTAATCAATCGATAACTGCCCGTACCTACTTGCAATAAAATGTGCATTATCTGTCGGCTTTCGAGCGTCTGAGTAAATTACATTAAGAGGAAATCAAAAAACATTAATTCCCGTCGTAAAATTTAAATTTAATGCATCGAAATAAAAATCGAAACTGAAATAACAATTTGATTTTCATTTGGCAAGTTGTTTCCAGAAAAAATAAACGGATTCAGTCACCATCAATGATATCCCACTTCAATTTGCAAATCAAAATATAGGGTATTTCCGACAGTTAACAGAGAAAAAGAAATTGCCTATAAAATCTGTTTATATTATTCCTTCGTTTACGACATAAACATACTGATGGCTAAAAGGAAATTATTTGGGTGTAGGTAATATTGTTAAAGGAAAATTGTATTTATACTAATCATCACCGGAACTCGCCGGATATATACAACATACTTTCTACAAGTCTTTGATGTTCAAGGTACTAAAAGAAAATAGCGCTTGGTTATATTTTTCTACTTATTCTTTTGCATATTATATACCTATGTATAATATTTGATATTTATGTGGTAAGAAAATATGTAGCAGCAAAATTACAGGCAACTAACAGGTGTCCCATATAACCTATATAAAAATAGACATTCTGTTTTAGGAATGTTGAAATACACAAAAGTTAGCTCATTGGCTTCGATGATTGATTTTTATATAATATTGTCTTTTTTACTGGTAAATAGAAACTATTCATTTATAAACG